ATCAACACACGTGCACACATACACACTCCTGGCTTCCCAAGCTCCAGGAGCCTCCGAGCCCTGCAGGTTTGTCCTGCTACCTCAAGCTAGCAGACACCAGCCAACCCCGGGGCGCACGTACCTCTCCTCCTCCAAGATCTTGACGACGCTGTCCCTGAGGTGGCCATTGATCTGCTCCACTATGCGGTAGATCTCGGAGCCAGGGAACCCTCCACCTCCATCACTAGGAGAAATGCAGGAGGCGTGAGGCCCGGGCAGAGCCGGCTGGCTCTGGGCAGCCCAGTATGCTGGAAGAAGGAGCCCCAGACCTGCCAGCTCTCGGGCAGACACAGCCACCCTCTGCGCTCAGGCTGCTAAAAGACGTCTGCACAACCTCTGTAAAGGGGCACGTGACTCCCTCTGTGCCCTTTGGGTGTGATCGGGGCTTCAAGAAGCTGACCCGTATTTATGGAAAACAGAAAGGAGGCCCCCAAGAGCGCTCACGGCCTCCCCAGAGCCATGCATGTTGGACAGCCAGTGCTGCGCTGCACTGGCCCTGGGCTAAGGCTGGCGATGGCCACATCCCATGGAGGAGAAGGGACCTGGCTGCACGGGCTGGCAGAGACAGGTGCTGGGGACCTCCCAGAGGCCAGCCTGGGGCAGATGTTTCCCTGTCTGTAGTGGGCTGCAGGTCGGAGCCCCTCACACCCTGAGATGCCTTCACCCCCGTGCCCTCAGCGGCGCAGGGCTATGCTGTCCCCCTACTGCAGACATGGGGACCCAGCAGCTAAGGGACTTGCCCATGGCCCCACAGGGAGACAGCAGCGGAGCAGGGACAGAGCCTGTCTCTCTAGTCCCAGCTGAGCGCCCTCATCCTGCACCGTCTCACCCTGCCCATGTGAGAGCCCCCCTCTGCCCCGGCAGCTCAGGGCCGGGCACCGCTCGCCAGCCAGGCACGACCCCACCAGAGCGGTTCAGAAGTCTGGGGATGCAGCATCCCGGCTCAGGCCCCTGGACACCACGGCCAGAGCCGGCCCTTTGTCAAACGGGCAGATTATCCTGGTGTTAGGGCGGTTTCAGAGATAATCTGGGCGGTGCAGGGCTTGGTACACCCACGGCGCTGCCCTGAGCCGAGAGGGGGCCCTCAAGGAGAGGTGAGGGAGCCCAACAAGCCACAGGGTGGCTACAGAGGGGGCTCAGAGGGACTGTCCCCAAGGCAAGGCCGGCATTAGCACCCGCTGGGGGTCACGGCGCTCGGACGCAGCAGGGCAGGGCCAGCCCCTACCACGTGCTCTTCTCCAGGTGGATATTCTGGAAGCCCAGGACATCCAGGACTTTCTTCTTGGTGGCGTCCGTGAACCCACCTGGGCGGGGAGGGAAGGAGAGGAAGGGGTCAGTGGAGGGGAGGAGAGTGCAGGCAGAGGGGCAATACTTAGGGGCAACTGTGGGTAGCCGGGGGCAGCATCTGCATAGCGATGGCTTGGGGATGTGCTGTTGTTTGACCCGGTGAACTGGCTCCCAGCACAGCCCCAGGGCCCAGTCCCCTGCAGACCAGCTCCCTACGGGCCAGGGGGTGGGAGAAGATGCGTGTGTGGAGCCGTGCTCCAATGAGTGGAAAAACACCATGTCCCCACAAAGGCCGTGAAAACACACAGGCACAACTGGTAACACAGATGTGGCTGCTGCCTACCAGTGCCTGGTGGGGTGGGGGGAAAAGGGGGCACACGCTTCCTAAAACAATGGGAGTGGAGCCGTGTGTGGGCCAGGCCTCCGGGCCGTGCCAAGGGTAAGGGCTATGGATGGGGTCAGTAGTGGAGCCAGGTGCACAGCCCAAGAGCCTGGTTGAGCTGGCGATAGAGCCCGTAGCCCCCCTAAACCCCTCCCCCAGGCTTTGCCCAGGGCTAACTTAGCCTGCCCAGCCCCTTACCCACCGTTCACCAGGGTCTGCAGGCACACGGCCAGGGACGGGATGCCCACGGGCAGCAGCTCACACAGCACAGAGTAGTGGTCATACCTGCAGGGAGTGCCACACATCATCGCAGAGCCTGGGGCTCCTCCCTGCGCCCACGGCCGCAGCGAAGTGCTGCCCCCGGCTTCCCTGGGGTGCAGCACAGGCCCCTGGCACGGGGTTGGGAGGCAGAGCCCAGTCACTGCAGCAATTCAAGGTGGCCGCGCTAGGGCCCGGCTGTGTTGTGAAAGGCTCTGGCAGGGCCCCTGCTCTGCAGCCAGTGCTACTGAACAAGCCGTGCTAGGATGGAGGGAGCTTTCTGCCAGCCCCCCCCCAGCCCTGCTGGCTGTGCCCCCGCTGCCCTCCACGCCTGCTCTCTGCTTCTTCTTGCCATCATCTCCAGGCAGCTGCAGCTCGTACCCCCCTGCATGTGCAGGCCCACGCAGCGTGCTCTGGATGGGCTGTGCCAGAGTCCAGAGTAAAGCCAGCTGCCCCCTGCCACCTGTGCCCCATGAACCCAGCTGGTAGCTCATACTGGACAGCGCTGGCAACCCAGCCCCAGCGTGCACCCTCACCTCTGCCACCCCGTGAGGGCGATGCCCTGGAACTTGATGGCTGGGAATTTGGGCATGGCTTGGATCACCTTGAGCCAACTCAGGTGGTTGTTCAGGTGGTTGCTCAGAGGTGTCCACTGCTGGGCTGGTCCCGTGGTGCCCTTGAAGGCGCTGGCGAACCACACGGTCTGGAAGCCACTGTCCGCATACTTGGAGATGAAGCTTCCTGGGAGAGTCGGAGATGAGGCTGGAGAGGATGGCCTGCCCTCACCACGCCAGGGGCATGCACTGGGGGGAACACGAGTTGGAGCACTACGCCCCATGCCCAGACCACCTTCTCCATTCCCAGGGAGCCAGGCCCAGTGGCACCGGGGCCCACCAGCCAGATGCCCTTCACCAGCCCTGAACCCACAGCGCAGCTGCCCCCTTACCGATCTGCTCGGCTTCGAAGTCGGGCGCGTAGTACCACACCATGGGCGCCGCATACTTTGCAATGCCCGATTCTGCGGGAGACCAAGGCCGGAGGAGAGAGGCTGTGAGACCATGACCTCTCCAGGTAGCTCCAGTAATCGGCATTAATCCCTGACAAGCCTGGGAGCTTGCAACCTGCCCTAGCCAGGAGGGGGCTCTTGTCTCCTTCCCCAGCCCAGCTCCCTTGGGGCACCGGGATGTTCCAGAGACCCGGGCCGCTGCGGCGCCGTGGCCTCGAGCCACCGCTCCTGGGATGCACCCGGCTCCTCCCGGGGAGCCCCACCGGGACGCCTGCAGAGCCCTGACCTTGGAGGGTGGCCACGTTGATCTTCCGCAGCATGTCGTCCCACAGCAGGACCCGGAGCCCCCGGTACTGGCTCACGAGGAAGCTCACGACCTCCTTGATGTGGTTGAGGTACATCCTCCCCACGTCGCCCTGGTTGCGGTTCAGCCAGTTCTTGGAGTCCGTGCCCTCGCCCAGGTGGAAGACCTGGGGCGACGGGGAGCAGAGCACACGTCAGGTCCGTGAGGCAGCCCTGGCCCCCACCCCGCCGGCATCGTCCCCCCGCGCTCCGGTCCTGCTCCATGCCCCCAGCAAGCTGCTAGGGTGATGGGGGCCTTCCTTTTTGCCCTGTCCCGTCCCCGAGTGCCACGATCCCCTTTCCCCTGCCTGATCGGCTGCTCTGCCATCTGCTGCCTGCCCAACCTGATTCTCTGTTTTCTGCTCCCTGCCGGATCTGCTGCTCTGCTTCCTGCCCCAATGCACTGCTCAGCCCATCCTGCACCACCCTGTGCCAGGCTACAGCTGCAAGGGGGGCCCTGCGCTAGGCTGAGACCAGCTTGGGGACGAGCAGCCAGCTGCAGCCGAGCCTGGATGCAATGGAGGTGCGGCTGGCAGGCAGGGGGGAGCCTGCAGCTCGGGCAGCCCCTTGGCAGCCAGGTCCACCCAACAGCCATGAGGGCAGGGCTGGGTCGAGCAAGGGGCCCTGGCTCTGGGAGGAGGCTCCCGTGCTCACCTCGTCGGCGCCAATGTGGATCCAGCTGGCACGGCGGTGCTTGTCCATCACCTGGGCCAGGATGCTCTTGAGCAGAACCAGCGTGTCTGGGACGTGGGGGTTGAAGCTGTTGGGGAAGCGCTCCACCTCCCGCAGGTGCCGGTACTGGTCGTGCTTCAGGATGAACTGGCGAGGAAGCGCAGGGGCCGCGTCAGCCGGCCGCCATGAGCCCCTCGGCCTCAGGGGATGGGGCGGCGCAGGACGAGGCTGGGAGCAGCCTGGCCCAGACACCCCGATGAAGGCAGAGAGCGAGCCCAGGGCCAGGCCTACCTCCACGTGCCCGAAGGTCTGCACCAGGGGAACCACCTCCAGCTGATTGAGCTGTGCCAGCTGCTGGATCCGCTCCAGGTCGTCCTCGCTGGGGGAGCAGAGAAAGGGCATGTCAGAGGGCTCTGGCTGCCCTGCGTCGCGGGGCTCACGCCACCCCTCCCACCGGCCTCACCTGTAGGTGTAGGGAGCCCGGAGCACACCGAGCTCACCCTTGAAGGGGAACATGTCCTCGTACTCGATCAGGACCCCATTGGCACCCAGCCTGGACAGCAGCGGGAACAACTGTGGGGACAGCCATGGCCAGGGCTGCAGCGCATGGATGGAGCGGGGTGCCCGAGGGTGCCCTCCACCCGGCAGCTCAGGATCAGAGCCCGCCTGGCACCTCCCGAGACCGCCTCGGCTCCACGCCGTTCAGAGCCCGCTCACCTGCTCCAGGTAGGACACCTTGGGGGCAGCGCCCTTCAGGTCCAGGTGCACCAGCCTCATCTCGGTGGCGCTGAAGTCCTTGGAGAGCTGCTTCCTGGCTTCTTGCTTGGGCCCGGCAGCCTGGGCGGCCTCCGGGTCGAGGGGCTGGCTGCGGGGGTCGGGCTCCGGGAGGACATCCCCGCCGTTGCCCCAGAAGTCGCTGTCCTTGCTGATGTGCTTGTGCAGCTCCAGGGTGAAACTGCGCACCCACAAGACACACCAACGCCCGTCAGGGCCTGGTCTCGGGGGCACCGGCCCCTTTACGAGCCCCACGCCAGCCTCCCTCGTGTCCCTGGCCAGAAGAGAGGGGCTAACGAGGGAAATCCACCTGGCTCGACCACGTTCCTAGCTCCTGCAGTCACTGACACCCATGAAACCGGGGGCCCTCTCCCCCGAAACGGCTGCTGCTGCTTCTGGCTAGTCCAGAGCAAGGCAGGGGCCCATCTCCGTGCAGCCAGCCTGGGGAAACACGCGCTAAAGTGGAAACTGGGGGGGCTCAGAGCCCTCGGCTGGAGGTAAAGTCCACCTTGCTGCTCCCTCCCTGTCCCCTGCTCCCACCCCCGGCAGTAGCCGAGGCTCCGGGGTGGGCACCGCCAGAGGTGGGGACGGGGGCAGCTTCCACCTGCAGACCCGGAGCTGCCTAGGACCCCAGGCCGAGCATCCGCACCATGCCAGCCCCCCCTCACCTGTCTCGGAAGAGGAACCTGATGCCGGCCAGGGCCACCACGAGCAGCACGGCGAGGCGCAGCAGGTGCAGCTTCTGGTTGCGCTTGAAGGACATCGCTGCAGGCGAGCGGGCAGGGAAGGGCTGAGCTGGGGGCACGGCTTCTCCCACCCCAGCAGGGTGCACCCCTGCAAGCCCCCAGCCCCCACTTCTGCACAGCAGACCCAGGCTTGGACCCTTCCTCTCTCCCCTGCATCCGTGGGAGGATGCCTGACCTGGGTCCCCGCCCCAAATCTGGGCAGTGCAGGGACTTGCCCTCCGCCCCACAACAGGTGAGGATGCCCCTCACCTGGGCAGCTCCTACCTGGTCTGGTGCTGGCAATGTCAGGGCAGGTTTCGAGAGCAGACGCCTGGCACAGAGACCGTTGGGCCAGCGCTCCCCATGGAGGGAACAGCTGGGCTGGCACTGGGGGAGCCCCTGCAAGACAGGAAGGGGGACAGCGAGAGGGCTCGGCCGTGTTGCACCCGCTCCAGCTCGGGGCCGCACCGGACATGGCTGGGGGCCACGGCTCGGGACCGGCCCGATGTCTGCTCCTTCCCTACCCTGCAGGAGCGGCTTCCCGAGCAGGATGCCCTCAGGCCGCCCAGCTCTGCGCACCACGAGGACAGGCCGGGCCGGGCCGGGCCTCCAGACCATGCACCAGACCCCCGGAGAACCCCTGGGCACACGTGCGCGTGCAAAGGCGGACACCCCTCCCCACCCCCCAAGGCTCCCCTCTTTGCTGCTTGTCCTGAGCCCTCGGCCTGCATGAAACGCCCCCAGTGTGCAGAGCCCGAGCACTCGTCTGGGGTCCCCGAAGCACCTTGGCAGCGAAAGCCATGCGGGGCTGTCAGCTGGCCTCCCACCACCAACAGCTTTTGCAGCCAGGGATCCAGCAACTGCCTTATCGCTGACCAAGCACCTGAGCTGTGCGACTTCCTGCCTACCCTGGGTCAGGTGTGCCCTGGAGATACCCGGCGGGGCTGACTGGAGAGGGAGTGGGGAGAATGGGCGCAGCTCAGGTATTTGTACAATGCTGCCTTGTTTACACCGCGAGGGCGTGCCGTACCCCAGGAAGGGTGGCTGCAGCATGCATGGGACACGCACCGCTTTACCGGACTCTCGAAGTTGTGCCTGGAGCCCCCAGCTGAAATCAGGGCTGTGTGCACATATGCACGCACACGTGCACCAGTGGGCACGCACGCACGCACCAGCACGCACGCACCAGAATGCATGCACACACGCACACACCAGAATGCATGCACACACGCACACATACACGTGTGCGCACCTCTGTGCATGCACGCACATGCATGCCTCTGTACAAGTGCACCTCTGTGCACGCACACACACACACACGCCTCTGTGCATGCATGCGCATGCACACACATGCATAATCAGGCCTCGCTAGGCGTGCACGTATACCCACACAGGCGCGCACACAAACACACGCTCTGTCCTGGGCTCCAGAGAGGCTACGAGCCCATCAGGCGAAGCAGGAGGCGGGAGGGCACAGGCAGAGGGGCCTGCTCCCAATCGTGAGGACAGGGCCGCGGCAGGAATAAGGACCCAGGTGTCCGAGTCCCCGTGGGCCGCGCTGGAAGAATCCCCGGCCCCCGTTCACCCTGGAGGCACCAGCACAGCTCGCCCTGGCAGCGCCCAGTGGATGCTGGCTGCCTGGGCGGGGGAACTGGGCGCAGGAGCTCTGTGGAGGGTGGCATCTGCGTCACTGGCGTCTCATCTGCCCCGCTAGCACCCTCTGCCCGGGCTTCCTCCCCCAGCGACCCTGGCCCCCGGCATACGCTAGCACCGGGCCACTAGCAAGCTGCCCTGAGGCTGGAGCTCCACGCGCGGCCGTTCCTTGGCGAGGGCAGAGGCCTGGGGAGACCCGGCTGGGCCCCGCTCTTGCTCCCTGCAACCTTGCAGGGTGCTGCCTTCTCGCTGCATTTGCAACAAGATGAACAAAGCCAAGGCGGACCGAGGTGGCTGAAACTTCCTGCAGGCCGGGGCACAACTATGCCCCACGGCACAGAAGTGTTGCAGGACTAATTGACAATGTGGGTGTGAGCGTGTGTACCCAGCGCCGCACCCTTGACAAGTGGCTCTAGCAGAGAGGGCCAGCTGGGAGGAAAGAGGGGAGGCTCAGCCCAAATCTGTGGCAGAGGGAATTGAACCCTCCCCAGCTCCAGAGGTCTCAGACACGGTCCGCGAGCAGGATCCGGCCCCGCCGAGTCACAGCACTTGGGTCACGGCAGGGCTACAGTGGTTGCTGCAGAAATCCTGTCTCCACTAGGTCCAGCGCCCGGGGCCAACCCAACCCCCTTGCCCCGGGGACAGATACCCCCTGCACTCACTATGTCGCCGCGTCCAGGGGGTCACGACATGCACCAGACGGTCACCCGGGCCGGCGGGCACAGCAACCCCGCTCGGACTGCCCTGCCGCCCGCAGAGCGAGCCGCCGGGCCCGCCACACCTGGCCAGCGGCACTCGCTCCCTTAAACGGATCGAAGCGACTTCAGGAGGGGAGGAAGGGAGAAAGTGCTTACACTCGTGCACGCACTACACTGCACACGCACACGTGCACACGTCCCTGTCGTCAGGCCAGCTCTGCGGCACGCCTGGGAGGGATGAGGCCCTCATCAGCATCATAGGCAACCTCAAAACCGAAAGCAAAAAAGCAGCCGGAAAACTGCTGGGCGCAGAGAGGCGGGGGGAGAGCCTGAGCTGTGCCGCACGCAGCCGTGCATCCTCCAGAGGATGCCCGAGCAGAAGAGCCCTTTGTTCTTGGCTTCAGGAAGCCGCAGACGCAGCCCGGCGAGGAAGTCCCGTCAGGGCACAGCAGCATTTGCAGGCTGCCCATCAGGGCAACGTCCGCACGGCTGCCTCCGAGCTGGGCCAAACGGCAGTGACGTGACCTAGAAGCATCCCGGATCTGTGCCCACCACCCTTTGGCCCCGCACCCCCCAGGGAGACCGTGGCCCCCGCACAGCTACACACCTAGGAAGAAGTCAGGGGCCCTGGGTACACGTGGCCGTCATCGAGCCTCCTCCTTTGCACAAGTCCTTGTCGTGCGGCAAGGGTGGATTAACCCCGGGAGCTGCCTTGGAGCCGTGCCACCCCGGAGCACCAAGCCGGATGCAGCCACCTGCTCCAGACTCCTGCGCGTCCCAAGAAGCTGCCAGGGTTCAAGATGCAAATACCAGGCACTCGCTCCGCGCCCGTTCACAGGCCTCTCCCCGTGTTTCACCGTCGCCAAGCGGTGTTGTCAAGAGGGATGTCCTCCAGGCAGCTTTAATTAAGCCTAGCGGCCTTGACACCACTCCTGGCACACGGACCCACTGTGCCCATTAAACAGGTGTCGCACGGTAGCACCGAGGGCTGCCAGCTGAGCCTGGGGCCCCATGATGCTGGGTATCGTGCACGTACACCTGCCCCCCACCTCCCCAGCTCCCTTCTCCACAAGCTGCAGGACAGACAAGACCAAGGGTGAGCAGGGCACAGCACCCAGCGCTTTTAAACTAACCGTCCAGGGAAGGATGGCGAGAGACAGGGCAAGGAGCGTTGCAGGGGCAGATGGAGCCGGACGAACCCGATACGTCCCCCGAGAGCTGGCGCTCCGGGCAGAAGAAAGGTGGTCTCGTTTATCTGGGCTTGGGCAAAGCACATGACAGGATGCCACTGGGGAAATGATTAACCGAGGGCTAGGAGGGCAAGCAAGGGCACCAGAAGGGAAGCCAAGAGCAGGGGCGTTCCTCCCGGCTCCGTCTGGGGGCTGGTCTGATTCAATGTTTGCATTCAGGACCTGGGCACAAAGCGCTGCCAAAATCTGTGACCCCACGCGGCGGGACGGCAGCCCAGAGCTGAGCGACCCTGAGGGCCGCGGCCGCAGAAACAGGAGCAACCCAGCAGCAATAAGAGCAACGGGCTGGGAGCTCGCCGGCTGGAAACCACCAAGGAGGAGGAGGAGGGTCTGGTGCACCGGACACTCGCGGCAGAGCCGAGCGCTAGGGTGGGCGAGCCGTGCTGCACAGCCGCGCATCTCCTTTACAGCCGGGCAGTGGCGGTGCCATCGCACGAGGCCCTGGCAAGATCCTGCCTGGATGCTGCAGATGATTTGCTCCAGCTGTGCCCAGGAAAGGCACATTCAGCTCAGGGAAAAGGCGACGATGGATGGCAGAGTGGAGGTGGGGAGCCCTGTGCCGCACACGGGAAGAGCTGGGGCAGCCCAGGGACGCTGCTGGCACCAGGACACGTGGGGCTCTGGCCACGAATAGGCTCCAGCTGGAAAGCAGGACGAGGGGTCTCCCCTTCGTGGCAGCCAGGCGGGAGCAGGGGGCAGGAGGGGAGCAAAGCTCAGCCACACTTAAAAAAAAACCCTTGAGCAGGTCAGCAGCAGCCCTCCCGCCCCAGCTCGGCCCAGGGAACGTGCTCACAGACGGAGACGCCGGGGTATTAGGGGAGACCTCGCCGATGCCCTCGCTGGACGGGAGCGTGCGGTGGACGGGGGTCTTCATGCACTAGGCAGGCCCTGCGGCCAGGATGCCCAGGAGCAGGGAGGCCGGGCTCAGAGCCTCCTCGCCGTGGCTCAGGCTGCACCAGAGCTGCCCATCCTCGCACGCCAGAGCTGGATCTGGATCAGCAGCCAGAGGACACAGCGTCGCTCCCAGCTCCTCCCTGCACTCTCCGGACATGGACAGCCTGCCGTGGACGGCAGAGCGGGGCGGAGACGGCAGCCCCAGGCGCAGCTGCTTTACCCCAGCCAGGATAGCGGTAGGCTGGACTGCCGGGGAGCTCGGGCACTGATGCTCACACAGGCGCGGGGCTTTGCCAGGGAGCTTGGGCATTGGTGCTCATGCAGATCCATGGCTTTGCCATGCATCCCCCTCCCCAGCAGAAGTGCAGCCTGGGGTACGAAGCACTGGCACAGGGGCTCTAGCCCGCAACCTTGCTCCAAGGCAAGGGGAGGCATGTGCGCCCCTGGAAGGGCTGAGGACCCACCGGACACCGTCCACCAGCGCGGGCAAGGGCGGGGGGACCTGCACAGGTGGAGAGAGCAGCAAGGGAAGGGCTCCCTGGTGCAAGGGGCAGCTCAGCCCAGCTGCCTCCTTGTCCGTGCCGCTGCCTCCCACTGCTCTGGGGGGAGATCTTTCTCCCCTCCCTCTTCCTCCTCCTCCCCAGACCCTGCACCCCCAGAGCCTCCCGCAGCACCAGGCAGCCTGGCCCCAGCCCCGTTGCAGGGCTGGCACTCGGACTAGCCAGGGCAGCAGTGTGCCTGGCCCCGGGGGGCTCTGCCCGCCCCTACCTGGCAGGTGCAGCCGGGCCAGGCTGGCGGCAGGGAGCACGCGCGGAGCAGCCGGAGCCGGTGGCATCACCCCGCAGCCGGGCGCACGGAACCACCCAGCCCCGCTCTTAAAGGGACCCGGATCGGGATCGGGGCCGGGCTGCAGCGCAGGAGGGGCTGGTGACAGCTCCCTGCAGAGCTGCCCCAGGCATCACTCTCACCTGGGCAGGGGGCTGCGGTGCCCGTCTCTTCTGCACACACAGCTTTGGGCAGGGATGCCTGTTTTAGCAAAGCCCTGCCCAGTCCCTGCAGGGCTGCAGCACCTCGCACCCTGGGTGCACTGATCTTTGCAGCCCCCTGCTCTGGGGGTGGCATCGCAGAAGGGTGTGGCAGCTGCTCTGTCCCACCAGAGTTTGGGGGTGCCGCTGGGAACTGGAGAGGGGCGTCCCGAATCCGCGGACCAGCCGTCCTATGCCTGCTTGCAAACTGCCACCATGCTTGAACACACACCCCTCCGGAGTGGAGAGGTGCTTCCCACCCAGCCCAGCCCCATGGAGCCAGCCCCAAATGGAGCATGGGCCCAGGCAAAGAAGCAGGGAAACACACGTGCGGAAACATGCCTGCAGCGCACCACCGCCTCTAGCAAACGCTCCTTGGCCTGATGTGGCAACCTGTTATTAAACAGGTGTGAGTTTAGTGACAGATCGTTTTAATTTTGCATCCGTGCCGCACTCCCTGCCTTGCCGGGGCTCGGCGGAGATGCTCCGAGCGCTGACGGCGACACCGAACTCTCGACAGAACGATATTTTCCTGGAGAGAAATGAATGCTTCCCACGGGGGCTTTGCCCAACTCGCAATAAAGCCTCTCCGATTTCAGGGGAAAGAGCCGTTCATCATAATACTGTCTGCACCACTGAGCGTTTGTTCCCTTCGGGAAGTGTGCTCTGAATCTCAACAGCGATATCTGTGCGCGAAGGAAAACGCGGAGACGAGGCCGGAGACACGCGAGGGAGGGGGACCGTCTCCCGTCCCCAAGCCATCCCTGATGGTCCAGCACCATCCAGCATCCTTTTACTGTCGCCCGCCCAGGAGACATCAAACCGCATCAGAGCGCCGGCGGCCGCAGGAGGCGGGGGCCCCGGGTGCACCCGCATCTCAGACCGAAAGGCTGCAAGCTCCTAATGTCGGCCTTGGATCAAAACCGGTGTAAACTGCCGGGCACAGGGCCGAGCCGGCTCCGCGGGGGATGCTGTTAGCAGAGATCGAGGGGAAAATGTCCTGCGGCAAACGACGCCCACGTCCCAGCATCCACCGTGCGTCTTCTCGACTCGGGGCTCAACCTGGCGTTTAGGAAGCGGCGGCCGGGGAAACCGGGGGGCAGGAAGGGTTTGATAGCCTGGGATTCGCTCTGTGGGGCTCGGAGCCCCTGGCAGCCCAGCCGCCGTAGGCATACTGGGCGCCCCGGAGGTGCCCGGCGAGCTCTCCGCGGCCCACGTCAGGGCTGCCAGCAACAGCAATGCACACGCCCGGAGCGCCAGGCCTGCAGCATGCACACAGTGCCCTTCCCAGGGGCTTCCAGCAGGGGGCAAAGGTCATGGGGCAACCCTCAGGCAGTGCCCCCGAGCTGGTGCACCTGGTGCCAGGTAGGGCGTGCCCCCAAGCTGGGCACCCCAACCCCCTAGGCTGGGCACGGATGCCCTGGGCAGCAGCCCCCACGCTTGCCTGGATCCCAGCCCCAGAGGGTGCCCAGGGCCCCAGCGCCCAGGCCTGGGCCGCCCCGACCGCGGCGCACGGCGCTGCACACCCCGCGAGCAGCACCGCCCCCTCCTGGGGCTGCTCGGGGCTGCAACACGACACCCACCCTCCCCCCCACGCTTTGGCACAGCTTGGTCTCGCCCGAGACTCCGCGCATGCGTACTTCCTCCCGCGCCAGGGACAGTGCAGGGCACCTTGCACATACGCATGCGTTTGCCGGACGCGCTCGTGTCCCGCCCCAGGCAGGCACCCTGTTTCTGCGCATGCGCCTCGCCGCTCGTCGGCCCGGGGCGCGCTGTGCGCATGCGCTACGGTGCTCTATCTCCGCCCTCGTGTGTCCGCAGGTAAAGGGGGGGTGCCCCTCCCCCCTGTGCGGTCTGTGGTCCCGAGACCCTCGTGCAATGTGGGGGAGGGCAGGGTGCAATAAGGGGGTTGTTGCAATGGGGAGAGGGGGCTGTTGCAATATGGGGGTTGCAATAGGGGCTGCTGCAATGGGGGGGTGGTGCAGGCTGGGGGGGGGTGCAATAGGGGGGGTGGGGTGGGGGGGGGTTGCGGGGGGGGG